ATGGATACTTTCCCCTTACTTTTTTGGCACTTTTATTCCTTTTATTCAGCTTTCCTTTTTTACCTGTCATATTCCTCTTTTTTTTTAAAAATCATTTTTATTGTGGCATTAAGAAAAAAATGGCAGCTTAAAAGATCTTTGGTACAAGATGCAAAATATTGTATTTTAATTAAAAAAAAAATACTATAAAGCCCATACCTATGAAGTAGCCTCATTTTATCTTGCTTTGAGATTCAGGATTACTGGCCAAAGTCCCATTTTAATACAAGCTTCCCCCAGTTGCCAGAGCGTCACCAGGGTGCTTCTTCAGCACCACATGACTATCGGCATGCTGTAATTCAGTGACATTTCAGCCCTGTTACTTGAGAGCGCCATGAATGAAAAGTTGGGGCCAAATCAAACTTGGGAGGCCTGTCCTGTATTACGGTCTTCATTTTGTATAGGATAAAAAGAAGGCTCCTATATACAAAATATCACAACAGAAAGAAGTTAACTAATGCTCTGTCACAAGAACGTTTAACGTGAGGTTCTGGAACTTTACTTTTTACTTTTATTAGATTTTTACACACACCCCAGACAAAGTCTACTCGGACCACTGGAGGGCTCAATTTCTTACCTTGGCCAGACAGTTCCATTATTTTAAAGGTCCTTTTAAGGTTAAAACAGGCCTGGGGAGGGATAAGGACCTTTATTTGGGAGTTGGGGTGGCTTTGGAATCCACCTGAGACCAGAAACCCCTACTGTAACACCACTGTGTGAGGTCAAGATTTATGGGGACAGTTGTTACCTGAAAGTGCCCTTGCATGAAAGTGGCCCTCTACGTATCACTGAAGGGTCACTGTCTCACACAACTTTCTTCTTGATGTGTAAGATTTCCAAGAGGAGATAAGAGTGGTGCTGCCAGAACAGTGATTTTCCCCCCTGCCCATCAGCAGTCCTGCTGGAAAATCTGGAGCGAGGCAAGCAGCATGAAGGGACGTTACCCTGTCTGTTAATATGCTTAGTTGACCTTGATCTGGATGGCCATTATGAACAATTCTTAATCTGGAGGTTTAATGGTCCAAAATATGCCAAAGGCCACAGTTTCATTTTCCATCAGCCCCATCATCTTATTTTTGAATATACCAAAGGATCACTGTACACAACGTGCAGTTCATTTGAAAAGTCTGGACGGCTGGGCAAACAGGGCAAATTCACCCGTCTTTCTTGCTTCTCCACCGAACTCCATCATTTTGGATGGCAGGCTTTAATCAGCATCTGCAGATCCAAGCCTTCTGTGGGCAAGGAGGCCAGAGGGGGAAACAAATAGAAACTGTTTCAGTGAAACTGACAGCAGCAGGTGTAGCAAGATTTTGGCCCTTTTCAACAGGATGTTCTCAGAAGACTTGACTCTGTTCTTGGAGTTCAGCCGTAACTCTTCCACATTTGTGTACAAGGCATATAATTATTCATCAACTCCCAACAGAGAGTCCCACAAACTACCCTCTTCACAGTATTTTGTTTACATCCCTGGAACTAGACAATGTAAATAGGTTGTCAATGTGTTCTGAGCTTCCATATTTAATTTCAGTTACGCCACTTGCAAGGCAGAGAAGTTTAACAGTGCAAGATCAGTGCAGAGAGGAAGCCAAAGAAAGGCAGGGCGGCTGATGGGCTCTCCCCTGGTTCCAGCCCAGCTTTGCAAAAGGGCAGGAGAAAACTGACTGCCAGGGTAGATTGTCATGGTTTTTAGACCTCAGTGAAGTCTTCTCTCTGACATCTGTGTCATTTTACTATAGACACTGCTGAAACGTCCGTTTGAGTTAAGAAGGCAGGGATTCTTTCACTGACGAATCCAATTGTAAGTAATTAGGGCTAAACTGACAAGACCAACCAGGAAGCCAAAAACTAACAGTGCACATGCCTGTAAAGGAAACAAGACAAAAATATAAAGCCTTAGCAGCAGAAATCAACTTAGCACATTGTCATTTAAGTGAATGAAAGAACATAATTTTGTCCCTTAAGTGGTGGCAGACTTACATGGCTGCATTTAAAGCAAGTATAGCATATCTTGAAAGTAAGTCAATGTCACTGAAAGAAAGACACTGACTCATAGAAACATGTTAGATTGGTGGTTTAGGAAACCATTTAAGGCTGCTGTAATCTCAAGCCTTGGACAAAGTTATCCACCCAATTTGATAACACATTATTCAAAGGTACGGATTATGTAGAACCTGGTGTGCAGGAAAGATTGCAAACAAATAGAATTTAGATTCCGGATAAATGTGGAGACTGTTCACATGAGATGTTTATGTCACACTTCACATTTCCTGCCTCAAAGCATATGGTCTGAGTACAAGAGCCTCGGTTTCAGTCTTGGGATTCTTCAAGTGAGCAGGACTAGGAAACAACCTTCCCCTTGAGAGTCAGGAGATCCCCCTTGAGTCAGAGTGGACAGTAGTTGGCACATGTCAGCAAACCTGTATCACACTAACCTATAAAATGCCTCTTTGTATCACCTCTGCTATGGGAGACCTCCTGCATCCAGGAAGAGCGTACACAGCTTGTTTCTTTATGGGCAAAAAGGGAGACCAGCAACCAGAAAAGCGCATCTTTAACACTATGTATTTCATGCAGAACCAGACAAATGCATGTGCATCACCTTGTTGAGGGGTGGGTGATCCATTATACGCAGGCCACACGTGGGGTTCCACCCCATTTTATAGTCTATAGATCACTCTCACAACAGCTGCACTTACTGCCACTGGGGAATCATAGAATAGGGAAGTTGGAAGGGGCCTATAAGGCATGAAGTCCACCCTCCTGCTCAAAGCAGGAATACATATCAAAGGATATCTGCCAGGTGGTTCTCTATGTTCCTTTTGAATGCCTTCAAGTGTTGGCGCGCTCACCACCTCTCAAGGTAATTGGTTCCATTGCTGTACTACTCTAACAGTTAGAAAGTTTTTCTAATAGTCAGGAGAGAACTGCTATACAGGAGTACCTCAGTTTACTACACCTTGGTTTACGTAATTTCCAGTTTACGTAGGAGAGAACTGCTATACAGGAGTTTATTGCACCTTGGTTTACGTAATTTCCAGTTTACGAATGGAAATCCATTGAAAACAATGCCTCAGTTTCCTTTTATTTATTTATTTATTTTGGTTTTTGAAGGAAGTTTCCCCAGGATGCATTGTGCCTGGAGGTTAGTAGTGCCGCCGCTGTTATGGCAATCGGCGTTTTGGTTTACGAAATTTCTGCATTACACAATCGGCGTTTTGGTTTATGAAATTTCTGCATTACGTAACGTTCCAGAGAATGTATAAATTTCGTAACCCGAGGTATTACTGCACCTGGAAGCCTCTAGGAGTAGCAGTCCTCTAAAGTAAAAAGTATACCTTATTTTAGGTTAAACCTGAGTTTTTTCAAAACTGGAAGTGAACGTCTGGCCTCTTTCAGATGTGAGAAAAGAAAATACTGTTTGGAGATAGTACAGCTCTATGTGAGGGCAGTTGCCCACCCGATTTAGACTCTGGAGAGAACATCTGTCTGTGCCCACTAAAATACGGTCATCCTTTCACGCTAGAACTTAAAAATGCAACTAAAGAATCCAGAGCTTACCCCAAGTTTCTGTCGTGATATGAAGTCCTCTGTGCTAATCTTCAGATAGAACAGCCCAGGGTAAACAAACAGCAGGCAGGTTGAAGAAGTTGAACCTTGAAAAGAGGAGGACAAAAGTATAAAGACACACAACACACACACACACACACATTGTGTGTCTTTATACTTTTGTATCATGCATGCAGATTGAAAAAAAAAACACAAGATAGAACTGGAGAAGAAACAAGCACACGTACAAATCATCTTACCCACTACTCCAAAAAGGTGTGTGATGTCAGGCACATACATTGCAAGTAAGACAACGGTGGCATTGAGTCCTAAAGTGATGAAAATGTGGTGGGTCAGGGAGAAAGGAAGATGTGAAAAGAACGTCATCATTACCGCCTTCCTTGCCTGTGCAATTAAAAAACAGAAAAATAAATGTGAAACCAGGAGGGGAAAAAAAAAACCAACCCAAAGGGTGAAATGTGACATCAAGGACAGTTAAATAAAAATAAATGGGGAAAATGCACCACCCGCATTGCTGTTAACAAAAATAAAAATGATTGACTCATGCTAAAGAGTGACATCTTTAACACCTTCGGAAAAGAGTTCTTTAGGCCCAGCTTTGAGAATAGGGCAAAGCTGTATGGGATCCATGTCAGCTATAACACCCTGTTGTGTACACCTGGGTTTGTTTCTACATAAGGTGTGAACTGGTCATAGAGCTCTTACAGCAATTTTCTGAGCAACCATTAATCAATATATCATTATTTGCTCTAAGCCACTGTAAAGCCTACACGCACACTTTACACAACAAACTGCGAGCATCCATACTTGTTTGCCCTCATTCCGCTTGTGGGGAGACTTTGATCTGAAACTGGCCTTTCAGGGAAGAGGGCAAACAACCCATTCTCCTCTAACGCTTCTCTAAACAAAAGCACCGTCTCCTGCTTGCAGCAGCTTTACATTTCCCACTGTGTAACGTCTAGTTTGGTCTCTGAAAAGGCAAACATTCCAGAAAAGCAAAGTTCAAAAAATGGCTACGGCTAGCAGCAGCAGCAGCAGCTCTCTGCTCCTTTGAAGTAAAATATGGGGAGAAATAAAATTAAAGCAACCCTACCCGAATCCAGCACTCGTTGGAGAAAGGGGCAAACTAGATCCTTGTGGAAAGCCTAGTTCCCACAATGACCAACCAGGTTCCTGTAAGAGCCCCATATACAAGACGACAACTACCAAGGGCATCCACCCGCTCATGGTCTCCAGCTGACCATCATGTTGCCTCTGATACCGGGCGTATTACATAGCGGTCATGATCTGTGACCACCAAAAGCCTTCTTTTGCGTGAACCGGTCCAATTCCATTTTTAAACTGCTCGTGCGGGCAGCCACTGCTATTATCTTGCAGTACGAGCAAGTCTTATATGTTAGCAACACATCAGGAGAAAAGAAGCTTTTGTTTGTTCTGAACCTTCGATCAATTATGTTCACAGATTCAACCTGGGTTCTTGTATTATTAGAGGGGGAGGGAATGACCTATTCTGACCCTGCAGGAAATCAACAGGAAAGTACTTACAGGAAAGTGGATGAGAGGCACTGTCAAGAGCACAGCAAAGAGGATGCCTAGTTTCACCGTCACAATGACAGTGTCATGGGGCAGGTATCTGCTGTATCCTTGCAACAATTCTGAGTCCACATGGTCTGAAATGTTTTTGAAAAAGAGGAGCAGACTATAAGTCATGGTCTGAACTGGAGTTCACCCCATGCATTTAATACCCCATGCATTAAAATTCTCAGAGCTTGGAAAAGTTTTTTTTATTTGTTCATTTGGGCTGCCAGAATCCTCCCGCCAGCACAGCCGCTGGCCATCCTAGCTGGGATGTCGTAAGAGCTACCGTGTGAAAGCTACCTGGTGTGGTGTAGTGGATAAAGTGATGGACTAAGACTCAGGAGATCTGGGTTCAAATCCCCACTCAGCCATGGAAGCTCATTGGAGTTGCGGGACAGGTAAAACCACTCCCTAAATATCTCATTTACCTTAAGGAGCCCTATTAGAGTTGCTATAAGTTGATCCTGACTTAACAGCACATAACATCATCTGAAAATGTAGCTTCTTTAAGCTCTGAGAATTCCTTTATTATGATGGCTTTCAATTTGTTTCCAGAGGAACACTGGTGTTGTGTGCAAAGTTTTATCTGGGTTTTCTTAAGAAGATCAGCGGTAGAAAGCAAAGCTCTCTGCTTGGCCCTCTTCTACCTGCAATGAGCCTGTTAACAACCGAGTGGCCACTTATTCATGAGCTAGGAAGGGCTGAAAGAAGTCAGGTTATACCCAAAATGTGCCTCAATTCAATTCACTGTTAAAAGTATTTTAAAGTACTGTACTCTTCAACTTCACGGCTAGTAAAAATAAATACTGTAGGATTAAAACCAGTCATAGTAAGCATCATCACCTTCATACAACAGTGCAGAAGTAGCTAGAAATAAGCCAAGCAAACTTAGTAATGTGCAACTGTAAAATGGCCTGACAAGCAGTAAAACTTTGATCTGGTTTTGGGTAAGACCTTACCCAGCAAAATGCCATACTAGAGATGACAGTGAACCTATTTCATGGGGTAAACACTGATGGGAAAATTTAAAAGTTGGCCTTGCTCTTCCTCCTGCTGGTCCTTTAACTTTAAACCCATCTTTGACTTCATACTTCTTAAGCCAGAAACATATATGTAGTAAGTAGATTGCCTTTTGAAAAGAGCGATATACAGGCTACCCTAAGAAACAGACAGAGCCTGTCTGAACTAGCGGTGTGCTTTAGACTTTGCTCCCCAAACCACAGCCATGGATACCGTGATCAATCTGGAGAGGGTCTCCAGCAAATAATTCAGTTTTCAAGCAGCGGAAAATCTGAAAACCACCCAGATGCATGCTATTCAAGGAACAGCAGGAGGACTAACCTTCCCACCAACGCCACCATGCCTTAGTCACCCAGTTATTAGTCTTAATCCAAAAACTAGGCCAATTACACATCTGCTCACAGGCCTAGCTAATAAGATACTGGCCAATGTGCTATATAACCACTCTCTTGATTTTTCAAATCATAATTTCTCTTCTCTGCTGATTATTTTACTTGGAATGATCAGCGGTAGCAACCTATACTTTTCATTTCTACATGAAACCGCTGGGAGAGGTCATCAGGAGGTTTGGGCTGAGGAGTCAGCAATATGCTCACGACACTCAGCTCTACCTCTCGTTTTCCACCAATCCAGGTGAGGCGGTTTCTGTGCTGAACTCGTTTCTGGACCTGATAATGGACTGGATGAGGGTCAATAAATTGAAACTCAATCCAGACAAGACGGAAGTGCTGTTAGTGGGTGCTTCGCTGGACAGGTTGGAGGGCCATTTCCCTGCCCTGAATGGGGTTACACTCCCCCTAAGGGACAGGGTACGCAGCCTGGGGGTGCTCCTGGACCCCAGTCTAACACTGGAAGCCCAGGTGGGC